GGTTTTTTTTTTTTAAACCAAAATGCGACTTATTTTTCAACATAGTCTCTTTTTAGCTCGATACATTTTGTCCAACGATATTCCAACTTCTTTAAGCCTTCCAAAAAATACGATTTCTCGAACTCTGCAAAATAGGCGTTTGTTTCAGTAATAACCTTGTTCAATGCGAATTTTTTTTCAACAAGCCATCTCTTCATATTTGTAAAGAGAAAGAAGATCGTAGGAGGCCAAATCTAGAGAATAAGGTGAATTAAAGGAGCAGTTCGTAGGGCAAATCGTAGACCAATTTGGCCTTTAACACATGGAATTTACATTTTTCCATTGTAGTAAAACAACACAAACTTATTCACTTTCGAACGCTGTTAAAAATTTACTATTTGATAGATCTACTTGAAACCTTTGTGTATATGCCTACACAAAGAATGGCAAATGTCACAAATAATATAAAACTTGCTGATCTGAGCGTCATGTCTTATCAAAGTCACTTATCAAATATCCTACGTGTATGTATGTATACAGAGTCCCAAATTAATCTTTGTTCCCGTGGTGTGTAAGTAGAATGGGTAAAACTGAGCAGAAAAGTCATGTACCATTTTGCAAAATTTGCAATAGTTAGTGAGGAATTAATTATTTTGTCTAAGCTAATGAATGCATGGGAAAGGGCAGACTGGACATTGTATAAAGAAAAATGGTTTACCTCTGAAGATCTCCTAGCAACGATGAGCATCATATGATTTCTAAAGGCGGGATAACGCAGCAAGCAGCGAGTGGCATATGACACAGCGCCATGCGTCGAAAAAAGAAACGTCTCTCGTTACTGGTTATCAGTTGATACTAATCGTTACTGGAAAATCTTCAGAAGTAAGCCATTTTCTTTATACAGAGTTGAGCCTACCCCTTTCCAAACGCTCATTAGTTCAGGCAAAATAATTAATTGTTTACTAACTATTGCGAATTTTGCAAAATGATACATGGCTTATCGACTCAATTTCACCCGTTCTACTTGCACACCACGGGAACCGAGATTAATTTGATACACCCTGCATGCGCGCGCGCGCGCACGCACGCACGCTTGCACACACACACACACACACACACACACACACACACACACACACACAAGGATATATATAATAAATATACAAAATAATGCAAATTCGGTGCTTTTATTTTTTGATAATTTCCTATATATATCAAGGATATTTTAGGGTCTAATTTCTAAAAGCGTTAGTCCTAAAATATCTTAAAAAATAGTTGAAGAACCTTGAAGAATAGTTATTTGTAAAAAAATATATAATAATTTTCATAAGACTGTCATATTTTGGTGGAGAAATGTTGCTGGTTTGCATCTATGTTCATAAATTTTAATTTTACACCTTCAATAAGGTTTCAGAGTTGGAAAACAAAATGATATGTCGGTTTTGGTTCTTTTCCTCTACTCTCATTTTTTAGTATTTTTAGTATTCACAAATATATCTTGACATTAAATCGGAGCAGTTTAGTATTCGTGATCTACTTCAACATGAAAAATACTATTGATGATGTTCCAGCTGTGCATTTTCCACTAACGAACATTGTTTGGAGTGGTACAAACGATTACACAAAGTGACCTATCCGCGGAAGAATGTAGAGGATATATTTGCGTTCGCCTATTATGCATGGTCCGTAGAAGAGGGGAAGGATTATCCTAGGCTCGGAAAAGATAATAGTTCTTATATTACCACATTTAATTCAGAGGTAAAAATAAGCAACTTCTACTTATTAATAACTGCGCGGAAATTTGCATCACAGAAGCGTCACGTCGGGACTCTCTTGCAGGTTGAACGATTGAAGTTCAATTTACACGGTACTTGGCGCATAAGTCAAATAAATAAGGATTACCGGATGTGCCCATCCTATCCGCCACAGCTTTTAGTTCCTGCGTGCATTTCCGACGAGACTCTCGAAACTGTTGCCAAATTTAGAAGTTCCAGGCGAATTCCAGCCGTTGTGTGGAGGTATGGTTTCTCGTACAAAATTTCAGTATTCGCATTTGTCCGACTTGTTATATCTGACATTGCTTTGACATTTGCTCGTTTTCAAGGCATGTGAATAATGGCGCGGTGATAGCTCGCAGTAGCCAACCGGAGGTTGGTTGGCTCGGCTGGAGAAGTTCCGAGGATGAGGATCTTCTGAGAGCCCTCGCGGATGCGTGCTCCTACGATCAAGGCGAATGCACAATAATAGATTCACCAATCACATACTCCGACGCCGGTGACGACACGATTACACCAAGTCCGCCTAAGGTAGGACCGCCTAAGGTAGGACCACCTAAGGTAGATCCTATGTACCATCTAAAAATTATTCAAATTCATAAAGTTTGTCTCAGCCACCATTCTCGGAAAAAGAAGACACGAAATGTATCTTTATGTATTTAAAATAGTTGGTCCGTGACAATATTGTTAGAAAGATAATGGTTAATACAATTCTGAGAAATTCGACGAATCTGTGTTGAATGTTTATAAACGTGATTTATGATACACTGGCACTATAGCAAGAGAATATCAAATGTATAAGGTGTTAAAAAAATCATTCGATATTTATATGGTAGGTAGTACACTATAAGAAGTGTTCCATGTGTCTTAATTCCATTTCTATACACGTTTGGCATCTTCTTCCAGAGTCGCGAACTCTCTTGAAAATTCAAATCCTCCGTCGAATTATTTGACAAGCACGCTGGATTCAGTCACGCAATTCTTCTGTCACTTATCAGCGAAGAATATATTATGTTTTTTTAAATATCCCCATAAAAAAAGTTCGAGAGATTTAAATCAAGGGATCGAGGGGCATGCAACGTCAAATCCACCATTGATGGCCTTTTTTTTTTAATGGAGATATTTGAAAAGCATTCTTCGCCGATAAATTACTTGGAAAAATTACGTGAATCCAGCGTGCTTGTGAAATAATTCGACGGAAACCTAGAATTTTCAAGAGAGTTCGTGACTTTTAAGAAGAAGATGCCAAACATATATGGAGATGGAAGGAGAACATGTGAAACCTTCTGTTAAATATCGAGATAGTAATTTAGACAGATTATCTTCTCACGTCGCATGCGACACGTAGAAGCCAGTAAGTCAATCATGATATTAACATATAAAAATATTTATATCCTAGAAACGGCTGAGCTTTCGACCTATGTTTATTAAATTTTTTAAAACACGATATAATATTTAAAAATCCATAAAATCATTTTTCACGCTTTGACGCATAATATTTTTTGCTGGGACTACCCGTGTTAAGCATGTTTGTGAATATATCGTATATACCGATAGATTCACATGAATGCACGTTACTAGAGAAATTATCATAGCGTTGAATTTTCATATTTTTCTCTATTTTTCACATTTTTATATATTGATTGTAGATTTTTAAAGTTGTTTAACCATTCTACTTTTAAAAAGATATTATGTTTTTATATCTAACCAAAAAGCACCAAACGAAATAGTGCATATAATATTGCCAAATCTTTATATATTAGCTGTCATGTACTTCAGTCGTTATCAGAAATTGTGTATTTTACATTTCAATTTCTGAAGAACTAGAACTAGATCTTTAACGATCTTGTAATTTTTTTATAATATTTCTCGAAGTCTTTTATTGTATTCTTATTTTCCATTAAAACCGTAAAAGTTAGATTACTAGAATTAAAAACATGGTATCGGAAGCCGTTTTCTTATCTGTGATATAAATAATGCTAAATTTGACTTCAATTATCTCAGCTTCAGTATAGTCAATCTTTTTCTAATTTCACATATTTATAGATCGTGTTTCGATTAATATGTTAAAATTTGAAAAGATTCCTCAGAAAATAAATTCACGGACCAATTATCTTAAATAAGCGAGCGATTAATCGTAAAAACGTAATTCTCGTCTTGCAGAAAGTCTTAATCGTTGATGCCAGGTCGTACACGACAGCCGTAGCGAATCGTGCACGTGGCGGCGGTTGCGAGTGCCCCGAGTATTATCCGAGTTGCGACATACAGTTTATGAATCTGCCGAACATCCATTCGATACGGAAGAGCTTTCACGCGCTGAGACAGCTTTGTGCATCAGACGCGGATCAGCCCAAGTGAGTATCTTCGGATTGTCAAGTTCGTTTTCGCGCGATCAGCTCAATAATTCTTATTTTAAGTGATAATCCTCGATTAAGACTCCTAGTCTCTCACTCTGTAGTTTAATGACGTCAAGAGCGAGAAAACGTGCGAAATATTTATGAAATATAAATTAAATTAAAAAGATGTGCCCATAAAGAGACACTTGCAATTGATTGAGTGCATTTATGAAGTATTCCGAAAACTTCTTTTGCTCTAAAAATCGATGAGTAATCGTAAGATTAACACAACGCGCAACCTTTCTTTTTAGCTTATCTCTTATCATGATTTCATTACGTTAATTTTATACGGTTATTTATTGATTGTTAAAGTAAAAGTGGAAGAGGAAAACATTTTCGAAATGTTTTACAAATATGCTTAAGGCTTTCGATCCCTTGCTGCAGTTATCCTGTTTGATGACGTCAGAAGCGAGAAATCACATGCCCGAAATTCTCGCGAAATATATTGAATTCAAGGTATATATCCATAAAGTGATATTTGCGATCGATTGCGAGCGCATTTGTGAAATATTCCGGAAACTTTCCTTCTGCTCCAACAATTGATGAATAACTATAAAATTAACATGATTCGCAATTTTCCTTTCCAGCCTGTCTTTTATGATTTTGTCGCGTTAATTTAATGCGGCTATTTAGCGATTGTTAAAGCAAAAGGGAAGTTTCCAGAACATTTTACAAATATACTCAATCAATCATACGTATCATTTTATGGACGTATGATTCGATATTTCGACATATTCCACGAGGGCTTTGGGCAAACTTTTCCTCGCTTCTCGATGTCGTCAGCCAAAATGGCTGCGGCGAGGAAACAAAGACCCTTCATTCCAATTCTTCATCGCCCCGACTTTTCGCGCAGTTGGCTGAGTTTGCTGGAAGGGACGCGATGGTTGCAACATATGTCCGGCTTGTTGCGGGCAGCAGTTACCGTGGCGTCTGCGATCGAGAGAGACGGTCGGCCGGTACTGGTGCATTGCAGCGACGGCTGGGACAGGACACCGCAGATCGTGGCGTTGGCGCAGATACTGCTCGACCCGTATTACCGCACTATGGAGGTTCGTTCACTTTTCATAGGCAGCACGATAGATATCCAAGCCGTGTTTGCTCTCTTTCTTGCGCTGATCCATTTCATTTCTGGGGGTTTAGGGATTCCAAGTTCTGTGCGAGAGAGAGTGGCTAGACTTCGGACACAAGTTCGCAGATCGATGCGGCCAAACCATCGGCTGCGATGACCCCAACGAACGTTGCCCGGTATTCCTTCAGTGGCTCGACTGCGTCCATCAATTGATTCTGCAGTTCCAGTGTAGCTTTCAAATGTCCGCCGCGTACCTCGTGAGTATAAACCGGAACTCGAGACATCGCGGATTCGATCGAATTGTAGACCAATGCTCGAGATTACTTGCACTTCCTGCCTGATTTTCCAGGGCTATGCCTGTTTCCTCCCCCTCGCTGCACCCATCGAGCCATGCGATTGACAATCGTTGCGCTCAACCTCGGGGCCGTCGACTTTGTCAGATCTGTTAGATCTCTCTCCCTAATTTCAAAGAAGCTTTTGTTATAACTAATCTTCTGTGTGTGTTATTTTTATACGCTCTGTCAGTATAATAATACTGTTATGATTATGATAGAATCTTGATTGCAATAAGAATTTTTCAATAATTAGGGAATGTCTCACAAATTTTATGAATTCGATGGTCCTGAGGCGCGCCATTAAAATCTCAAATAATAACCTGGACATCTCCGACTTTTTAATGAAAAAATGGCGTTTAGTTTGTCACTAGCCTATCTATTTATGAGAGATATCTACAATATCGAATTCAAGCACATCTTTCCGAAGATATATATATGATATTCATCTTATTATATAGAACTACTATTATATGAATTGTATATAATATGTGTATATAGAGTATATTAGAGTAGATTAAAAGTTCGGAAACAGCCAATTATCTCCGAAATAATTAGTTTTATGGGAAAATATTTGGGACCAAACTTGCAGTGTTAAAAAAATTATACTAGATGGCAATGTCTCTGTGATATTGAAATGACCTTGGAATGATCCACCAGCATGACCTTAAAAGACTGAAATATGTACCTCCACTTTTTAGTACAGATTTTGATAATTGATGCCGAGATCTTTTCAAAACGCTATGATAATGTCCAATTTGGGTTTTCAGTTCAAAAGCTAGAAGAATTAAATGATGACTTGCCGCCAGCATCAGCGTTATCTGATGGACACCGCGGGAAAATTGTTTGGTCGGACTTTCATTTCACCCTGTGACCCTGAAAAGAGCCGATCACACAATCGATCTTTCCTGTGATCTAAAAAAACTTCCCCGCGGTGATTATCGAGTAATGCTGATGCTGTTGATAAGTCAACATTTAACCCTTCTATCTTCTAAAAAGATCCGAATTGGACATTACTATAATGTTTTGAAAAGTAACTACGTCAATTATCAGGTTCTGTAATAAAAAGTGGAGATACCTAAATAAATTTCTTAAGATCATCTTGACAGGTCATTTCAAGCTCATAGAGATGTTGCTATCTGATATAATTTTTTGGACACTGCAAATTTGGTCTCGAACATTTTCTTATAAAACCAGTTATTTCGGAGATAATTAGCTGTATCCGAACTTTTAAATTATATATGTATAATTTATATAAAAATAGATTTTTTTAATGTCTGCTATTTTTTTGTAATTTATTTATTATCGTTCATCTTTCATCTTCGAATAACATTTAGTTAGAGTCCTTTTGTTTGACGAGTCTTCGGTTCTGCCATTTTTTATCGAATAAGAAACCAGACCAATCAGTAAAAAGTTGGAGATATCCAGTCCAGACTCTTTCTCGAAGGGCTCTATGCGCTGCAATTGACAATCGTTTGGCTCGATTGATGAGCGGAAGATAGATAAGAGGAAAAAAATAGCCCTTGAAGATCGCCTCGAAGGTGCAAATTATTCCGAGCATTATATGGTTGAGCTGTGCAAGTTTGCGGACTTTCGTCGAGCGACATTCCTCATATTGCGATTATCTGTCTTCTAGGTGAAGCTGGCGCAGCACACGTACTCGCAACTGTTCGGCACATTCCTGTGCAACACTAGGCAGGAGAGGCGGCAACTGAGAATACGCGAGCGCACGTTCTCCGTGTGGCGTTTCCTCAACTCCACCGCATTCGTGAATCACTTGTATTCGCCGCTGAAGAACCAAGTGCGTATTCGCGCATCGTGTTATCACATGGTGTGGTTTCGTATTCTAAACCGTGTTAAGCGATTAGTCGTTATCTATATGTTCGGTTTCCCATGTCATCAGGTATTGTGGCCGAGCTGTAACGTGCGCGACCTCGTCCTGTGGTCCGAGGTGTATTTAGGCTCAATGGAATCCTCGCTCGGCGTCAAAGACGATAAACAGAGAGTGACGATGATAGACATCGAAGGTGGCGACAGCGAAGAGCCGCAAGGGCAAATGACGAAGACGAGGTCATACGGCGACCTCATGCACGCGCCTGATCATGCGGTTTACTTGCACCGAAGGCTTAGCGATCCAAGTATTTCTGTAGAGAAGTACGTAGTCTATGATGGGTCGCGGGCTACCTAAAATGTACAAAAACAACGGATAGTAAGAAAACTACATAGGGCAATGATCACGTGATTTTTCCTCTAGAGCGAATACGTGAAGTGAAATATTTTCAAATTAAAAAATTTTTCACGAACTCAAATTAAAGGAGGAGGTTCATAAACCTCCTGGGGGTTGATCATGAATTTTTTCATCCATTATGAAAAATATAAATTTTCTAATTTGAAAACATTTTGAATTTTCACTTTTCACATTTCCGTCTTGGGGAAAAATGATGTACGATCTATATTTAAATTTAATTTGCATATATTTGCAGTGTAAATGTAGGAGTATAGATTAATGAACTTTAATGTCGGTTAAAGTTGATTAATTTCGAGTTAATCAATGTGGATCTCCACATACACACCACATTGCAAATGTATGCAAATTAGACCTGCGGCTTGAGTTTTGTTATCTGTTGTTTTTATACATTTGAGACAAGTTGAATCAAAGAATTTTACAGTAATTTAATCGCGAACTACTTGACGCGGCGACGAGCGTTCTGCGTGTGATGTACAGTATATAAAAAAGTATTTGCACAATCTATTTCTTCTGTTTCGTTTTGGTTTTCTGAGATAATTATACACACTAAGGGTAGGAGATATTATTTCAAGGTGTATGTGTTAGAACTGTTTTCATTTGTATATTGACATGAGTTGAATAAAGTGTTCTTTTCAAAATCCCGAGAAAGGCGGAGTGTGCAAATACTTCTTTTATCCGCTGTGTATGTGTGTGTGTCTGTGTGCGCGCGCGCGCGTACATATATGTATATGCACTCACCTGACACGATCGTTCAATTTCACGAGTCTCTCCTGTGTTTCTTTCGCAGAAAATTCGATTCTCTGACGCTTGAGACTGAAATGGATTCCAAGGACGCGAAGAGCGTGGACGATAATCAGAATCGAGCCGCGAGCGACAACCTATCGGAGACTGATATTAAACTAAAAAAATGCATTGCGAATCAAACATCCAGCGATTCGCCGGCCAACCCGTCGGTAGACAGTTCCACCGACACTCTGATACCCAACAACGACTCGATCGTGCCCGCAATAAATAACGAGAAGGAAGTGTAAGTATATACCTTTTACCGCTCAGCTTTATTACGTTATTTCCATGCGGTAGCCTCGAGAATTTCATGCGGCGAGCGTTTCTTTCGATTCTACATCAGAAAACGTGAACTAGTGCATTTCTTTACGTTAAATCGTGAACGGATACAAACTGAAGACTAACGGAAAGAGAGAGAGAGAGAGAGAGAGAGAGAGAGAGAGAGACGAAGGTTGCAGATCGAATCACGCTCACGACACTCGCGGTCAGTCCGATTTAGGAGCGCACTAACGACGATTTCACTTTGGATCACCTGTACTTGTCCCATGAACGCGCTTCTTAGTGTCATGTAAGCTAAAAGAACAAATTAAAGTCATAAATCCACTTTCCAATGGGGAACAATAAAAGAAAAATTGTGTGAACATTGAGTAAGGATCTTAATAACGGATGAGGTAGTGTTATTGCAGTTGATAGAAACTGCACTTCGAATTCGGAGGATGGAAATGATGAATGTATGAATTTCATGAATCGCTCATCTTCAAATAATGATGAAGATGAAGAGAAAACTACAAGGGATTTGCATAAGACTTGAATTTTAATAAAAAACAGGACAAATTTGGACAGAAATTTTTTTAATCGTTTCTAACAAGATTTGTATTGGTCTTCTTTTTCATACGGCGATCCACTTCCAAATCATGGGCACTGTGGGTATGTGACGTCACAAATCTGTGATGTTCTTTGCTCATGAAAAACGCTTAGGAAGTAAATCAGATTGATTATAAACGCACTAATAGTGTTGTGAGCATAATTCGGATAGAGTTACTATAATAAGAGTCTGTACACCGCCGCCATGTTGAGGTTAAAACCGAAAGTTCACAGCCATAATGCGCGAAATGTTCAAATACTATAATATTAAAATGAGTGCGAACGAAAATATTTGTTCTTAATGACTTGGTAATAATATTTTTTATGTTAGCGTAAATATGACAAATATTTCCTTTCAACAAAACATTATTTTTTTAATAGAACTCACTGTGATTCCTTTTCTTTTGGAAAATAACACATCTTTATTCCTTTTGTTGATAAATTACTATAATGTTAGGCAACACAATCAGGTATTTTAATATACTGTAATAGAGGATAGATTAAATAATATAACTCACACTAAAAAAGCATAAAATATATGCTAAAATTTAGTTTGTACAAATATTATTATGCATTTATCTTTTTATTTCTATAAAGATATTAATCATAATATATGAAATACATAAACTCATTTTTCTTTAATTAATTAATTAAATTAATTAATATTTCATAGACTTCATAGATGGCAAATCTTTGTTTATGTTGTCGTCTCAGGATTGGCAAGAAAATTCGAGTAAGTGGAAAAAACCATAATAAATTACAATTTTTACTGTCCTTGAGACTTGATCCAATAGAATTAACTGACAAAAATCATAAAAAGGATCAATACATAACATTAAAATATATATTTATATAACTTTTAGTATTTTTTGCTTTAATTAATAAATCATATTAACTGTTATAACCTAAAGAAAAATGAGGTCAATATAATAATGAAGTCTTTTTTAATTCAAATTAATATATAAAGTACATTTTTTTAACACAAATTTTGAGATATATATGTCATATTGGTATAAATTTCATATTGGTTTTTAGTTTAATAAGAGAAATAATAGCAATAAAATTAAAAACGTTTATCGATTTAGTTCCCTTTATGTCTATTTTAACTTTATCACACTTTTGAAGATACTGTTTCAATTTGGAGCTTTTGAACTTATTAATATTCCACGAATAATATATTCTTGCTTATCGACAAATTATCGACAAGTTATCAACAAAACAGGATACAAAGTCTACACAACGTCTTTGTGTCTTCTTATGCATTTTTTAAATTACTTTTATCATTAATTAACTACTTCACTATTAAACGATAAACGTAAATACAATAAACCTCAAGGTTATGATGCGTCCGACAGGTTGACGGGCCCAATTTTACTAAAAAGAACGATAAACATATAATATAACATAGCTGCCAAAATTTATAGGAAGTATGATCGCACGTTTTTCGCTTGTATCTTATGCGCAGATTTTTCCGTAGAGGATCATAGCTAGGATTATAAAGTGCCCCGAGCTGCCCCTGAGAAATTGATATATCCTAATAATTTTTTTTTTTTTTTTTTTTTAAGAAAATTTTTTCCAGTGTTTCCGGAAAATATTGGTTTTTACTACAGGCATGGACTTGATCCAAAAAGTCTGGAATTTTGCCAACTCCGTTGTCACCGCGCTGATAACTTTAATATCATTCCAATCGAAAGCTTACCAAACCAAACCTGACGGAGCCAATGAAAAATTATACGTACGGTGCCCAGGCTCTTATTACAAGGACTTGAAATTCGGTGGTCGTACAGCCGGATAAACTGCCCGCGAGAATCCGTTCATAAGATATCCGATTCGGGAATTTGCAGGACACAGGCGAATTTGTCGCGGGACATCGTGTCGCCGTGGATCGAGACCGGCACTACAGGACGCGCCGCCGCCTGCTCGTCGTGCAGCCGCAATCATAACGAGGGTAGTGACGTGAGTGATACTAGCGCCCCATTGATATCAAGAACTCCCAGTAGCATATGCCCAGCTTCTCCTACCCATCAGGACGTTATACTAGATAATCCTGACTGGCTGGACGACGTTGATGGTCTTCCCGTCATATGTTGCGACGTCCAAATGCGAATACAGCAAATTATCGTAGAGCATAAGGTATTTGGAAAATGCACTTATCAGTACTATTTAACACGCCCCCGGCGAGTTCCCTGATGAAGTAACCCGGCGACGTGTTATATATTCGTTACACATACCGGCCGAATCGGCCGGTGTATATAAATAATTGCGAAGGCACGTGTTGAACTCTCCCGACCGCTTTTTCCAGCTTAAGGAGGAGGCCTTGAGGAAGGAGTTGCACACGACAAGGCTGGCGCTACTGAAACAAGTATGCAATCACAATCACAATATAGATACCGATCGCATCGACGACATCGTGAGTAGAGCTATGATAGACCTTAACCTGTTGTTCGCTTTCGCGTCTCGTATCGCGCGACGGAAAACTTACTTTGCGACTCACTTTGCGTGCAGGGCTCGTTACCGGACTCGGTGGGAAGCGTCGGCGAGCACGGCGAGTCTTTACCGTCGGACATGTCGTGGGAAGCCGTGGACGAGCTGGCCCCGGCGCCTACTCTTTGGGTACCCGATCACGCAGTGACACAGTGCATGGGATGCAACACGAAATTCTGGCTCGGTAGACGTAAGCATCACTGCAGGTATGCATTTCGCGCCAAGCGAATAGATTTGCTAGATTCGCTAACGATTGAGCAGAGAGACGACACAAGCACTATATAAAGACTACACACAGAAAAATATCATTCTACTGCTAAAAAGAGCAATTGCTCGGTTTACTTTCCTTCATTCAAGTAATCTGGTTATCTTTAACGAAGAATGTTTTCTGAATAACAGTCTTAAAATATGTTTATCACAAATTTGAAAAAAATTTGTTGTTATTACGCATTAAAAAGAAAAATTTTATTAGCTTTTCTAGAATATTATAAAAGATACAAATTAAAAAGTTCTTTGATATCAAGAAAAGGATGAATAAAACTAATAAGAGTCAAAGTACGTTTTTTTTTTAAATATCATTAATGTAAACAAAGTAATAAGTTACGTTATGACAAACATTTATTCTTAAATTAAGACGATGTTAAAATCAGCAGTTTAAAAAAGTCTATTCGATTTTGTTTGTGAGCGAATGCACTAGCTTTCTCGCGTGCAATGCTCCGCTGGATCTGCCCAGCGCAGGGCACGGAATGCAAGGAAGGATCGGTGTGGTGATTGAAATTCTTGAAATCGAGCTGCGGTTGTGCAATGGTTTATTCTTCTGTCGCGATAGAATGGCGATTTGTCCTTTACAATAAGAGGCGTGATGAAGTTCTTCCTTGTCGTGTGCCACGCACACCGCGGTTACAAGACGCAACACGATTCCAGTCGATCACAACGTTCAAAATGACAATTATAATTAACTGATAAACCGACAATCACTCGCGAAGTAGTCACGAGGCCGCGAAAGATGTCTCGTAACGAGATGAAGAAAATCGTGAGATTGATGTCTCGCACGGACGGTTGACCCGTAGCGAGCCGAGATACGCGAACTATTAGACCCGAACAGCGTGGTCTAATATTGAAAAAGTCTCTCTTGCTGAGAGTTCGCTTAACGTTTCTTTAACGGTCTCTGGTGCTCTCAAGGCACCTAGTTTATATACCGATATAACGCGTGGTTTTTTTTTTCAGCGGAACGAATAGATTGATCGACCTTCGATCGGACGAAGCCTTTTCGATCATGTTTTTGATACGATGTGACAATTCGGTGTTCTTCTACCCGAACACGTGATGAGACACGCGTGCTTCATGTTTACTTATGTTGTTGTTGGTTAGTAATCCGCGTGTTATTGTTTAGAACACGTGAGATCGTTTGCCGCATCATGCTCGGCTCACATGATGAACATGATAACNCGAATTTTGAACAGATTTATTTCCGTTCTACCGTTGTAATTTAAATCTAATCGACGATTAACAGAGTTAACCAATAGCATTGGTCAATTAGCCGATCAATATAACTGGTCATTTCCGTTGAGTTAACAGCCAATTAGATGTATCTAATCGCCAGTTTTTCTAATCTAATAATAGATCAGATAAATTATGATAGTAGAAACGGGCATTTGACTATTTGACTTTAACATCGTCCTAATTTGAGAATAAATTCTTGTCATAATATAATTTATTACTTTGTTTGCATTAGTAGTATTAAAAACTTCTATTTTAATTCTTATTAAGTCTACTTATCATTTCATTGATTCAATATTATACAATTTTATCGGAGAAAAGTTAGATTCGGTTAATTGAAATAACCCGATTTTTATTTTAATTTAACCCTTAAATGCATAGTGTTGCAAATTTGCAACATATTTATTTTTCCTTTTTGTCGAGATCAAAGGCACACCTAAACGTGGAAGACCAAATTCTTCCTTAGAACGAAATATACAATCCAAAAGGCACAAAGGCAATGCTCAACATATGCCTTAGATTTTTTTAAATATTTTTATCATTTTCTGGGACTGCCTATGAACCTAAAAAAAAATAATTCAGTAATAAAAAAAATCCATGCATTTAAGGGTTAATACTTGCGACTATCGAGTACCAAAACTAAAACTAGGATTGAGAATATATTTCGAATAAATTTGACGCTTACGATGAACTTGTGACGCAACACGGACATGTAAATCTATGAAAAGTACCAGAAACAAGTTCACATTTGCTTGTATGCAGCATTGTATTTTTCTGCGTGTAAGAAGGCGAAAGTGCCGAGTAAGAGAAGAAAGCAACCATTCGCATGTCGCGTACAGATGCTGCGGCAAGATCTTCTGTGCCGACTGTTCCGAGAACTTCATCCCGCTGCCTAGTGAGCAGCTTTACAATCCAGTGAGGGTATGCAGCGACTGTTTCTCGCGGCTGCAGCCGCCTCACAGCGTGAGCTCCTGCCAATGCAACGCCCGTCAACAGCATCAGGGTAAGACGGAGAACGAGAACGAGATGATGACGCCTCCGATGACAGCGATCAACGGCGGCACGGAGATCACGATGACGGCGACGACGACGACGTCGATGACGACGATGACGACGATGACGACAAGTACGATCCTACATCCTCCTCCCCCGCCGCTGCAGGCGTGTCTGAGAATGAAGAACTTGCCCACGACGAAAGACACCTGCTGCGACAATTTGCTGCAGGCAGCGCACCAGAAGGCGCAACCGTCCGTGGTCGCGGCGGCAACGGCGAACTGAGAGAGAGACTTGCTCTTCGCGACGAAGATATGAGCGAGAAAGGAAGAAAAAGTCGAAGAGGGAAAGAGGCCCGTTGTTAGGGATGTAGAGTCCCCGCTGTTCGCCGGCCGATCGCCGTGAAAGCGTGTCGTCGTCGTCCAGTTATGCGCAACTGCGCGCTCTCTCTCTCGCCACCGTCGGATTTCTACCACGGATTCGTATTGCCGTCGGTTCATGCGCGACGCGCGGACTAACTACCGCGACTAGATTCTCCTAAACGATCTAATATTTATTGCTAGAATAACAATTTGCGTACGCGAGAGAGGAAATGTATAGTGGGTACGGGAAGAGAGGGGAGGAGGCTCCGGTCCGTCGAGATTGTGGAGGAAATAGGGACGGAGAAAGAAGGAGGGGGAGAGAAAAGAGCGCAAGATAGGGTCAGTATACGAGGTTGTAAATATCTTAGGAATATTTCGAGCTAAGATTTCCGGCTTTTTCTGAGAAAGGGGAGGGAGAGATCCTCCGAGCTGTTACCTGACTCCAGGTATCTCCGCGTTGAGGATGCTGAAAGTGGCAAGTTTGTGGACAGGCTGTGATTGACGTCTACTTTAAAAAAATAAATTAAAAAAAGAGAAAATAAATGAAGGAAAAAAATAAAAAAGTGCGACTATATATGGAGCGAAAGATGCTAATTAATTGTCAATTGATTGTGAGGAGAAAGCGTTTGTTAATTAGCGACCGGGTCGAGCGAAAGGTAGAGAGAGAGAGAGAGAGAGAGAGAGAGAGAGAGAGAGAGAGANGAAACCGATGAAACCGTATTTCTTATATTGCCGCCGAGCTGTACAAGAATTGGGATAATTAAATATCATTATCGCATTGCACATATCTGTCGGACTCGCATCTCCAAACCCACATTATTCCATCGATCCTTTTGCTGCCATTGCACATGCCGTGGTGTGAAAATAAAGTTCTTGGTCAAAACTGAATCACGGTAAAAATGATTTATATATGCAGAAAATGTCTTGAAAGAAAAAAATAACTATTTGTAAATAATTCAACATTTATTTCACTTCCTTTTTACACAAACAAATACAAAATGATTTGATTTTCTTATAAATAGTTTCTATAAACGGTCTAAATGCCTCATTTTTTCTTTTATTCTTGAATATGAAGGATTTTACATCATTTAGTCGAGTATTTCTGTTTTCTGATTCTCCCCAAACATTATACAGAGTCCGATAGGACACTTTGTACAGTTCTGAAAAGGTCTATTATTTTCAAAAGGCATAAAATGAATATAACAGATTTTAGTAGTGCAAATAATTATGATCACTACACAAATGTAGTTTTTCTTTCAGAAATTCAGAAATTATCTTATTGGCCTAAACTATTGGTTTTTCCACTGTAATGTTACGCTTGTGTCATCCACAAATTTAATCATTATTTCATTTCAGAAATAAAAACAGTAACTCTACACTATTTATATTGTTACGCTCGCGCGAGGAAATAAAACGAAACAACGTTAACAAGAAAACAACTTCAACTATATTTACTATTTACAAGGGAACACACGTAACTCGCAGACTTAAGCTCTCTCTTTCGTTAAAGACCGTCGCGCACGTCACGACGACTCAACGGCCCCAAAGAGAATCCTTTTAACCCGTTGTTTATTAGTCAACGCTGATCATCTCTTGTTTACGACTCGTTGCTAAGAGAATCTGCTGTATGTTCAGGGCGCTAAAGGCGCGGGCATCAAGACACGGGCGTAACAATATTAACATAATATGTAGCATAATTTTAACAGCATAAACAGACATGACTGAAGGTTACCTTTGAGTCAACATTATTTTTAGCATCATATTAACCGAGTGAGTGATAAACGAATAATAAATGACAACAATTTATGATTACTTGATTATAGGACATCATAAAACTGCATTTATATCAACATCTGGTGAAGTTTTAAGAAAATGAGTTTTGGCCAAGAAAAATCTATCTTAGACCACTGTGCGTGTTGTTCAGGTCTGTTGTCTGTCGTCCCAGAAGGACGCGCTTATCGTTCCTACTAGATCCCGTAAGGACTTTGGCAGAATGACTTATTAGTTCAATATAACGTTTCATACCTCGAGTCTTTGCCCTTGTCTACAATCTTGTTTCAAGACATTTTAGCCGTAAACAAATTAACCAACCACGGTTGCTTATTCTTCTATTATTTATATGTATCAATAAATTCTGTGCGGAACCCATCTGTCTTCCTTCTGAACTTTTTCCATTGAATGCAAACGATATGAGATGGTTGATTGTGCTACTTCAAGCTGCTCTACGAGCTTTTTTTCAGTTTGCGCGACATTTTGTTCCAATAATGCTTGTAATTCGTCCGCTTCAAATTTGCTTCCCTCCTGCCTTCCTTCACGAAATCCTTGATACCATCTTTTGCATGTTGTATGAGTTACGGCATTCTCACCACAAATCATTTCGGCAGCCTCAGCTGCATTTTTCTTCAAATGGGACGCAAGATGAATAGAATATCGAATGTGCTCTTTAGTGATGGCCATCGTAAGCAATATTAAATTGATAGGTTATGTACACCAAACGTCAAATCATGGCATTTCAAAAGGCTAAAAGTGAACACTTGAAAAGCATAAAAGGACGAGAGAATATTTCAATTTTAAATGTTGCTCGGAATCGATTAACTCAAAGCACAGAATTCATTGATACACCTAATTAACCACTTAATTCGTAAATTTGCTTACTGCTCATATTTTAAAACAATGTTGCAGCCAAGGGCTTTATCTTAAATAATGTACAATGACTGTTTCGTGTCTAAAGTTTTAAACTAAAAACCGTTCTATTTACGATTGATGAAAAACCACTATATAATAAAGAAAAGTAAAAATGTTAATTTTTAAACAAAGATTTAGAACATAGAGATTTTTAAAATTACAAATTAATCATTCTGCTAAAGCCATAGGCGTAGCCAAGGGGGAAGGGGGACACTTGCCCGCTCCTAAACTTGGCAAGGAGAAACAATTACGAAAGAGACAAAAATAAAGAAGTGTAACTGATATATTACAATCTACATTTTACAGAAAATTAATTACGGTACGTGTCTTGTTTGTACGTGTGTAATTAAAAATTAATGACTAAGAATTAGCAATGTTTTATGAAAATAAATGTAATGAAAATTTCTCAATTTCACCATCAAATATTCCTTGACCTAACTGTGCGTAACGAGCACCATTGAAAGATTTTTTATTATTAGGTTTCGGTTAGTTTTGAAGGTTTACGTTAGATGCATTATTGGATGAAGATTCAACTCAAACGCTCGAAGAATTTGCAGAACAATTGGATATATGTATTGGTATGATCGTTTAAAAACCATAAGTAAGATCTAGAAGGGGGGAAAATGGATTCTACATAAGTTGCCCGAGTTGGCTATCCGAAATCGTTATAATATTTGCGTTTCATTGTTTTCAAGGCATAAGAAAGCAGTTTTTGCATGAAGTTGTAACTGGTGATGAAAAATGAATATATTATGATAATGCTAAACGGAAAAAATCCTGGGTGAATCCGGGACAACCGTTAATCGACGCTAAAATGCAATATTCATGATAACAAGATTATGTTCTATATTTGGTAGGATTATAAAGGTATTATGTATTACGAGTTACTAAAACCAAATGAAACAGTTACAGCTGATCGTTATTCATAACAATTATACAAATTAAAGCAAGCATTGGATAACTTATGATCTCCCATCGCAAATAAAAGATGTAAGGTGATTCCTTTTCACAACAAAGCCAGGCCACATGTCATTAACCCTTTTAGTGCCGGGCGAAAAAGAGGTGCTTATGCGAAGATAACCGGCCGATTTTACTAGGATTTGGTAAAAGGCTCATAAAAACCAAACGAAAAGCAATATTTAAAAATTATTTATTTTAATTCTCTCGTAATGAAATTAGACTATTTATAACGTATTTTAAATTTATTTTGATAGAAATCTCTCGCAACGCGAATAATAAAGCGCTACAAGGTGCGGGCCGATATATCGACTCTGGCACTTCTCGCCGGTGTAGCAGGAGCCGATATATCGGCTCCCGGCACTAAAAGGGTTAAATCCGTGAAAGATAAGTTATTGGAACTTGGATAGGAAGTCTCATTCCACCTCGCGTATTCTACAGGCATTGCCTGCACTGGCAATTTCATGCGCAGACAATTGCAGCATCTGATTATTATTTGTTCCGATCGATGCAACATGCGCTTCAAAGTACCCTATAAACGCGTAATATTATTTAATATTAAATAATATTTGAATATTCTTAGAATATTAGACATAATATTCTAGTAATATTATTTAATATTAAATAATATTTCTGGAACATTAATAGATGATTACATGTCCACTTCTAATAATATTTAAAGAATAATATTATTTAATATTATTGTAATATTATATATTTTTTAAATATTCAACTCTATGTACATATGTAAAATATATAATTGTTGTTTTTTATTTTAAATGTATTGCAATACCAGTTGTTTTATTATATAAATAAAGAATAATTTTATGAAAAAATACGTTTCATANACATATAACATCAATAGAACATTCCTATAATGTTAAAACATATTATATAACATTCTTAAGATATTATAGGAATATTATTTTAATAGTGAATAATATTCATATTCTTCATAGGAATATTACGCGCTTATATAGTACATACTTTTGAAACTTTGAAGAAATAAAAAATTAATCGATGAATGGATTGCTTCTAAAGATAAGTATTTTTTCCACCGTGGAATCTACTTATTGCCAGAAAGATGGGGAAAGGTTGTAACAAGCAATGAGAAATATTTTGATTGAAGTACAATGTATCATTTTTTTTTTTAATAAATGCGTTCTTGAGCCAAAAACCCTTAAAATTAATCGAAACCTCTAATACAAAGGATGAGAATCTAATCAACAATATCAGAAAATTACCTCGATAGACTTGTATACTAAGTATATACAGAAAAAAGGTGCTCGCCAAAAGAAAAAAGCTGGAAGCAAAAAGATTAAGGAAGTTCATTGAAGATTCGCGAAAACTAGCTTTAATATGCTTAATAAGCTTTGTGTGAAGATAAATTTTTGCCCTCCCCCTTCCCCTCGATTGAAATTCCGGCTACGCTCATGGCTAAGACATTAATTTTCACACTTGGTACAAGAATTGGTTCGAAAGAATTAAAACATTTTATGTATCTCTCTATATCGATTTTATCGCTTTGATCCGTTGAAGCGCGAGATATAACTTGATATTGCAGGTCATCGAAGCGTGAGAGACTCGATTCAGCTTTTCCGTCATGAATATTTCACAAATAAATAAACGATGCATGCGACGAACTCTTAAAAACTTTTATTACAGGCTCGCGAAAACCATCGAGAGAAACGATCGAGAATGTGGAACGTCGCATTCTAATTCGGACCCATTTTCCCCGCGGTAATATTGTAAAATGATGCGTTCTTCAATATCAGCGTGGCGTTCTTCAGAATGCTGTCGAAATTGCCTTTATTGTCGTCGTCCTTTTGGAACTGTATCAGTATCACGAGGTACGTCGTAACAGCGCCGGCGATCTGCAGTGAAAATCGTGATGTTAACTTTCCGCTGATTCATTTGTCTAAATATTGTCACGGGAAGACGATCAAGCACTCTCACCGAAGTCACGAGGCCTCGATCCAGGGTGAAAAGTCCACACGCTGAAAACTCTAAAGGGCGATGAAGCAGTTGAAGCGAGAAGATCTCCAGTTGCATCCTGATCTCTTTGTCATGGTTCGCAGACAGCAACTGACTCACTAAAACCGCTGTCCTCTTTCCCTAAAATATAATTTAGCATGTGAATTATTGTTCAGTGAGTTATCATTCATACAGGGTGACCATTGGGATTGTGTCTGGAGTAAATGGTCATTACTTTGCAATAAGTAGGCCGAACAAAATGAATGAATGAAACGCCATTTTGCAGAAAAGACTTGTCAAATTTTGTTATTATAAGTATGAAACAAATACATAATATTTTATTAACCCTTTGCACCCGAGGGCTCCGGAGCGGAGCCATTTAAAATTTGTTTTCAAACTCTTCAATACTCAAATGCAAATAGCAAGAGCGGAATATCCTATACACAATAGTTTTTACGATTTGTCTTTGTCCTTATGTTATGAACTGAAAGTTATTTGCATTGTCTCCATAGCGAAGCCCTCGAGTTTGAAGACAAATTTTAAATGGTTCCGCTTTGGAGCCCTCGAGTGCAAAGGGTTAATTTAAATACACATTATTCAAAAAGGGGCAAAAATATGCTTACGCGCATGAACTAATGGGATGTGTTTTCAAAATGTTGTCCGGAATCGGAATCTGCACAGAATTACAACTGTTTTCGAAAACTTTCAAATATATTGTCCAACATGATTATAGGAATGCTGCGAGCACATTTTCCAAAAATTATCTATCGACTCTTCAGTGTTTCGAGACTGTACAGCATAACATTTGTCTTTGGGGTATTTCCAGAGGAAAAAATCGCACGATTCAAATCGGGTGAGTAAAAAACTATTCTAGACTTCCGTGAACAAATTTCGGATATCTTAACCCAATCATCCTGTTGCCATACACTTTATGTATCGATTCAAACGAGTTGCGAGTACGGTGTGGGGTCGCGCCATCCTGCATAAAATAAAATTTCTCTGCTAATCCTCGTTTTTATGGGTGCAGTTTCTATGAATGACGTTTTTCAAAATCTTTCTGAGAGTTTCTTCATATCCATGACCTGAACAGCTTTCGAGGAATCGAAGAATTCGGATTTTTTTCGAAATACATTCTGATTTCATCAATACGTTCTGACTTCATCAATCATTTCGCCCGTAACGTATGTATAAGATGGGCCGGATAAATTTTTGTCTACGATTAAAGTGTCATATGTTATTAAAATTATCAGTAATCCTGCGGAAAAATATCGAAAAAGAAATATGATCTCAGACCACCAACATAATATGTAGGTTAGATTATGTTATGGCGCGATTCTAGAGAGGAAGCATGGCTTTTCAGCAAACACCAAGTTACAGTTACATATATATATATATATATATATATATATAAAACTTTGACACGCGCGTTATATAACAGTTATATTGTTGAATAGGAAATTATAACTAATAGTTATGTAATTGCAACTTGGCGTTTGCTGGGTTCTGAGTAGAGTTCTGCTTGAAACTTTTTCAGATCCATATTTAGTACGTAGTAGGTGTATCCACGATACACCTCAATATAGTTTTCGCCTCTACTGCAGAAGCACTCGATAAGAGACTCTTTCTTCGATGCTTAGAGCATTCATTCTGACATTGATGAACCGGCTTATATAACGGTTCAAATATGAAATTGAATAGATCTCAAATACCGGAATTTAATTAATTAAATGACCACTGAATTCGAAGAGGGGGAAATATAACCGTTTACATTAGACAATCCCGATGGTCGCCCTGTATATATATCGAAATTGAATCAGCTCGATTGCGCCTGACACCTCGGTCGTGGCGGCATACGTGGGCTGCACGAAGATGAGCAGCCTCCAGATGTGAAAGATGCACCACATCGTTTGCACCACGAGGAACAGCGGCTGCCGCTTCCCGTCGGCCTCCATGATCAAAAAATACGGCGTGATAATCAAGTGTATCAAGCAAGTGATCGTAACCACGAGTATGACCACGCCGTAAGCGGCGTTTATGTACGTCACTGTGTCGCACAAGGACGCGTGAACCGTCACCAGTTGGGATATATTGTCCGTGGAAGCTTTACCATCTGGAGCAACATTTATTAAAACTTGGTCATTGATCTTTCGTGATTATAGCAACCTGTCATATTTCATTTTGTAACAAATTAATTTTTTATAACTGAATAAATTTATAAATGTATCAATGTGTTATATTTAATTTTATATCAAATTAGTTCTTATAATTACATACTCTGAAAAAAAACTTAAAAAATATAAAAATATTTATATTCAATGAGTACTAATAATATATTTGCTTATACTAGAGCTCGGCAAAATCTACACACTTCGCCCGATTTTTAGCTCGCTCCGCCTAGCACTATTCTTAATAATATACGATACGTAAACTTGTTTCCGATACATGGAAAAAAGTAGTCTTAAGTCAAGAATAGATATTCTCGTATATAAGCAAGAATATTATAATCTTCTCAGAAGACTTTTAATCTTGAAATGAGTTCAAGTAAAACTTGCATTAATATAAACTCAATCAAATCAAGACTAAAGGTCTCCTAAGAAGATTATGATATTCTTGTTTATATATGAGAATATCTATTTTTGATTTAAAACTAATTTTTTTTTCGTGTAGCTTTCCACGTTACCTATTGATGCGTTTTTTTTTTAAGTGGTACCCTCAGTAGGCCTAATCCACTGATGATTGAAACAACCTTTTATATTATTCAAAAATAGCAGAAGAAAATAATAAATTAAATGAAGAGCCAACATTCAGTCCGACTTTCGGAATTTTTTACAGACGAAGTTAAAAATATCGAGCTGCATATTGCCCGCAGCAAGCCGCATAAAACGCGATAAACTTTAGTGCAGATTTTGCTGAGCTCTGGATTTATATCAATATATATATATATATATATTAAAAAAAAAAATTTGTTCAATGGATACTATAATAATAAGATGTATACTAAAATCTCTTCAAATACTTTTATTTTCATTTAAATAAGATAAACAATTGTTCTTATAAAAAGCTATAGATTTAAGGAAATGTGTACTTAATTTTATATAAATTTTATATAAATGTATATTTAATTTTATTATATAATTCTTATTTAAAAGAAATTTTTTCTCAAAAGTATATATATATCAATATCAATATCAGTATATATATATATTGGGAGTACAAATTAGTTCGGTCCGTTTTTTTGTGGTAAAAATGTATTTATTTCAGAACAAAATGAATGAACAGATTAATCAAAGTATTGTCCATCGCTGGCTACTACTTTTTCCCACCTCTTAGGCAATTTTCGAATTCCATATCGAAAAAATGTCTCGTCTTTTGAGGCGATCCAAGTTAGAAACCAATTTTCAATTTCTGCGAAAGAAGTGAACCGGTGACCTGCCAAATCGTGCTACATCCGTCGGAACAACCAGTAATCAGAAGAAGCACCAATGTCCGGCGAATACGGCGGGTGCGGTAAAATATCCCACTTGAGCGTTTCCAAATAATTTTTTATGACTTTTGCGACATGAGGCCGAACGTTATCATGCAGAAGAATAACTTTGTCATGTTTTTGCTCGTATTCCGGCCGTTTTTCTCGTAATGCACGGCTCAAACGAATCAATTATAGCTTATACCAATGGCCTTCTTGCGTTTGACTCGTATCTTCATCGAGTAATGCCTCCAATTCTTTGTCTACGAATTTTTTTGGCTGTCCAGAACGAGGCTTGTCTGAAATCACCATTCTTGAAACATAGAAACCATTCCCTACATGATTTATCAGTTGGAGCATTGTCACCATAAACTTTCGATGCGCTTTGGCTGCACTTTTCTTCCAATTAAAGCAGAAAATTGAAATCTCCCGCAAATGCTGCTTAGTTAACACAAAATTTGACATATTCAACACAGTAAAAAACAGGGGTTTGTATGAAACTCAAAGCGATATAAACTGAATATTATTGACAGATGTCTAACCTCTCTGAAACCGCCGAAATCAGCTGTCACTATGACAAACATTCATAACAGCCAGAGCTATCTTTTGAAAACGGATCGAACTAATTTGTACTCCCAATATTATTATAGTATCCACTGAACAAATATTTTTTTTATTTTTTAAATATTTTTCTCGATATATGAATATTATATAATCATTTAATTATATCACTAATATAATTTTTTTGTTATCAGTTGTTGAGAGACAAAGTTTCTAAATATGTGATCGAACCGTACCATTCATTACGGAGGAGTCCACGATCTTTGATTTCCGAAATATTCGAATGTTTCCCAGGTCTTGTCGAAGGTACGTAGCGAGTTGTCCCTGATCTCGGAGGTCGCCGGCTAAAGAATCCGTATTGTGTTAAAAAAATCGCCGTCGTCGATTCAAAGGTTTGAGAAAAAGATACAGACGTAATATCATCATCGTGACGACGGAGCACACACCTAATCCAAGGTCCTTCCGGAATTGATTCGTGATCCTGCTGCTCTTCAAGATGGTCTCCAGGCTCTTGTTTAGCCTGGAGAATCTTTGGCCTACATTATATGCAGCGATTGCGTACTGTACTTCCATCATGATGATGACTATGTACATGAAGTACAAAGGGAGGTAGTTGATCGGGCCTTTGTCATCCATCTTCTTGTCCAGCTTCACTTGGCTCCACGTATAGATGTCGAGGCAGGAGATGAGAATAGAATACGAGAGGCTGCTCAACGTCAACAAGATAGTGTATCTCTGGATCTTCCTCGGCGAGACGATGCCCATTCTCTCGTCGCACTTGGCGAGTCCGTGAATGATGAAACCAAACGGTGAATGCATCGCAGATCTCTCGGTGAATAGTGATGGGTTTAAGAACAGAGCTCACCAAAATCTGCACACTTGGCCCGATTTTTAGCTCGCTCTGTCTAGCGTTATTCCCTTTACATCTTCTCCTGCGCACGTTCACGAGCTGCGCGAGGCATAAGGGAAGTAACGCTAGGCGGAACGAGCTAAAAGTCGGGCGAAATATGCAGATTTTGCCGAATTCCAATTTAAAATTTACGACACAAAAATATTTGAATTGCTTCGAATGCACCATTCGAAAAGACTCGAATGTTCGCACGGTCGCTTCGTACAAACGGCGTCATATATTCTCACAAGCAAAATGTCAGCAAAATGTTAGCCTAGTCAACATATTCAGTTGCTGCTATATAACTTGGAGGTAAAAAGTTATATATTAGGTTGGAAACTATGAAACGGGCGTTTTTGGTTAGTCTGTGTTCAACTGCGACTGAGAAAGGTTCATTACAACGTGCGCTTGATATTTTTATTTATAAATTTTAAAGGTATTCTTCTTACTCATTTTGTAAAATTTTTTCATGTTTGTGTTCCATTTTTATTTTATATTTCTCCCAAACCAGATGGAAACAAAACGCGATTTACATCTACTTTTTTTGTATGAGTACAAATTGAATCATAGTGCAGCTTAAGCTTCGAGAAACATTAATCAAGCTTTCGGAAATGGATCCACCAATGAAAAAAATGCTCGATATTGGTTCCAAAAATTTCGTTCTGGCAATTTGAGCATCGTCAATGAGCCTCGAGGAAGACCACCACGTTAGCCATAAATCATTTCGTATATTCAACTAACACGATGCTAGCAATTTACACTATAAAGAAGAATATGTTCCTTCATTTATTAAATGAGATTTAAATTTTGTGATCGCTAACCTGTGTGACTTCTAGCCTATGTTTTCTCTACAGCATACATGACGCCGACTGTACGTGTGGAAACTCTCACGACAGTGACTCGAACGCCCATCACTATTAATCAGTTGTCACAGCAATGATCACTTTGAAGTGAGAGACTTACATCAACCAGTTTATCGATAACGATTATCACGTACTTCCATTGTAGAAGTGAACTGATGACGGAGGCTGCCGTGAGACCCATCACGCCCAGCACATCGCTACAGGTGACGATCACCGCGTTCTGAGACTTCAATCGGGTGCTGAACTCCCATCCATCTCTCAGGTCACGCCAGAAGCCCCAAATCTCAGCACCGATCAGGGACATCAATAGGCATACGCTGCGCATATTTTTTCTACCTTTATTTAAGAATATCAGTTTACTTCGGTTTCAACAGAATCGGCCCGGTCAATTTTTAATCATAAGACAAAGGCCTGTATATCCGTTAATCTAACTTTACTCCTTATGTATTCGAATGAGATACATTTGCACAAATTCAGATCAGAATATCAAATGTCAGATTTTGGCAAATTTGAAAATCTGCCCACTTTCTAGATCTTCGAATTCCTACAGGGGCCATTCGACAATTACGTCATGAGAAATTTGAATATTTTTCACCTCTACACCCTCGCCCTTCGTCGCATTTTGTCACAAAGTATTTGGATCCTCTTCCAAGATTACATGACATGTGGAATTACCCCCTTCCCTGCATCCATATTATATTACTAGATTTCTTTAGACTTAGCATGAAAATAAACACCGAGAACTTAATGTGACGTTCCACTTGACCTTTACTTTTCCCCTCTCCTTGCTATCATAGCCGCATGCAAGCTAATTGATGTCTCTCCCCTTCAACGTGATGTAATTGTTAAATAACTCCTACAGATCACTGTAGAAATGACAATACAAGTGTAACGATCGCGAATTGTTTCGGACCACTTTCGTTATAATCACTACGATTCGATCGATATTTTATAATTTTGACAGAGTGTAATTTTATCAAGTAAACGTTAATTTCTAAATAGTGTATAGGTTGGCGAAAAAATAGTCGCATTCTCTGCGAGCGTTAAAACTCCTACCCAAGTAGAACAGAAAATAATGATGACGCCAAAACGATGTCAAAATTACGAGAAAATGACTGTAAAAACTTATTTTTCAACTATTTTCTCATTATCTTGCCGTCATTCTGATGTCATTGTTTATTTTACACCGGTATTTTCTTGCCTTAGCCATCTTGATTAATAACGTCAGAAGTGAGAAAACATATGTCCAAAATTCTTAAAATATATTAAAACTAAAAGAATATGTCCATAAAATAACACTTGTGATCGATTGAAAGCACATTTGCAAAATATTCAGAAAACTTTCTTTCAACTCCAATAATCAATAAGTAGCTGTAAAATTAACGTGAATAAAATCATGAGAAAAGATAAATTAAAAAGAAGGATTAAGTAAGAAGTGCTCATTTCTCAACGTAAAATATTAAAATCATTGAAAATAAAATATTTAACAATTTAATGATTAAAATATTTGAAAATAAAATATTTAACAATTTATTATTAACAAAACATTTATGCGGTTTTCAATGGAAAGGTAAAGGAAGTTCTGATAATTTTTAGAAATTGATTTGGAGATCTTTTTCAGCAGTTCAAGAAGAGAAAAATCGAGGAAGACACGAATGACCCTGGTTGCTACTCCGAAAGTAGTGAAAATACATTGCCACTCGGAAGGTTAATTTTATGGTTATTCATTAATTGTTAGAGCAAAAAGAAAGTTTTCGAGGTATTTTATAAATGCACTCAATCGATCACAAGTGTCATTTTATGAACATATCCTTTAATTTCAATATTTACAAAAATTTTGGGCATGCATTTTCTTATTTCTGATGTCATCAAATAAGACGACTGCTACGAGGGAACAGAAGCCTTAGGATTGTGAATTATTTCGGACCACTTTCCTAGTAAGCGAAATATTAATAACACGCAGATTAACAGCAGATTCAATCAGAATATCGTGGCAGATCCACAGGTATCTGTGTCCGTATTAAGTTCGTGCCGACAACTTGCTAATATAACTTGACAACAGATTAAGGACAGAAATTGAGCAGGATCAACATGTTTCATTTAAACACATTTAAATGGTGATAACACGATAGATTCTGTCAATTTTTATCGCCAATCTGTTATTACGTTAGCAGATCCTATTGCACACAGAGAAAAAAGTTCTTTTGAATTTAGTACACATGTTTGTTTGACTTGTGTTTCTTTTTTTAAATATAAACAACATAACTTAATATCAAATATCATTTTGTTTTAATGAAAATGTTGTTGTTTCATTAAAGTAAACTATGTTGTTTGATAAAAAAAAAGTGTTATTTAGTATCAACAATATTATTTAGGCGAATAAATTTCTCTTTTTAATAAAATAAATTTATTTCATTACATAAATTGCATAAATATTGTTCCACTGAAACAATAAATAATAAAGTTTTTTATTAATTAAATATTTTCTTAACATAATATTATTTCTTTCAACTAATTTATTGCCTATGACAAGCTCTGTAATGTTTTGATGAAAATACAAAAAAAATGTTATTTGAAGTAAAGATATTTATTCTTTGGGAATCTGAACAACTCTGTTTGTTGAATCAAATATTCGTTTGTTTGTTCTATTCCAACAGACAAACTTCTTTCGATTGAAGAAATTGTATTAAATCCAAAGAAATCTTTCCTCTGTATATTTCTGCTGGCAAACTGCTGATAAAATAGCAGACATTATAGAAAATCTGCTTCTACAGATTTGATCATCTGAATTTGTTAATCACTGTGTAATTCGATCGATATTTTATAATTTTGACAGAGTGTAATTTTATCAGGTAAACGTTAAATTGAATGTTCAGACGATATACAAGTTCGCGAAGCCTGTCGCATTTTCCGCGTAATTCAATTCAACATATAGCGGCGTAGGTGCCCGCGGAGTTTCCTTTACGATTGCTTTTTTTTTCGATTACTTTCGTCACATCTTTACCTGTAAATGCTGTCGATAGTGCTCAATTGTCCTCGATACCTGCCGGATGCCTGTCTGACAAATCTCGTTGGAAATACACCAGACAGTTTGCTAAGATGATAGATCGGGAACACCGCTTGATATAGATCGCTGTTTACCAGCTTGTTACTCGGCCCCTCGGATTTCGCGTCGTATTCGTCCATGTTCGAGGGCTTGTCTATACATTCAGATAGAGTGGCGTTATCCCGCGATCGATTTTAATTGTGTCCGGGGTGAAAAGAATTAAACACGGCGGACCTATTTGCGGAGTACCACGCTCGTTAAAATTCTGCAAATCATGACACTGAGCTTCGTCTCTCGTATATTAACTCCGCACATCATTCCTTGTACACTAATTCCGAAACAATCGATCTCTGTCACTCTCCTTCTCTCGGAAACTCGGATACGTTCGTACTTTCACAAAGTATCTTTCACGAAGATAATCATCCGCGTGTTTGGAAAACAAAAATTATCCCGACGACGAAAAGTGCATGAAGAAAGCAATTCCGTCGAAGGTGACTGAATTTTCTACTGCCTGGGAACCGGATGAAAACTCACAGTTGTAAGAACAGAAAGATTTTTTCTGCTCAGTTAACAATTGTCCTAATAGAGCTTTAATACAGCTTTAATACAGTTGAATGTTCACGCGAATATGCTCAGCCGCGGTAATAAAAATATCATTTCTCGTCACCGAGTTTTCATTTGGTCCTTATTCAGTTGCACACAGAAAAATACATACTGCATACAATGTTAATTGTTTCATATATTTTATAAGATTATATATCTGCAAATATATCACAGGTTCATCTCATAAGCATAAATTTATTCAAAATATATTCTGAATTTTAGTAAATTTAGTATATTTCAATCAAGAATATTAAATTAAAACAAACACTTCGATTTGCTTATTTAAGTGAATCGATTTTAACTTTTCTTCAATAAAGTTTATAATATTCTTGAGTTCGGCAAAATCTGCACATTTCGTCCGATTTTTAGCTTGCTCCGTCTAGCGCTGTTTCTTTTACGTTTTCTCTCGCGCGCGGCCCGCGAGCCGCGCGATGAACTTTTTTCAAATAGCTATCCACGTCATTCATAAGGTACTATTATTGATATATTTTTTATAATAGTGAAAATTGGGCGAAGTGTGCAGATTTTGCTGAGCTCTGGAGTACATGATAATGAGCTTTTCTAAAATTGGTGAATGAATATATTTGAAGATTATTTAAAAAATATATATATTTTGTTGAAAAATAATTATTACTTAAAAGGAGAAAAATAAAATGCGTAATCATTTTTCTTAGCAGTAGAATAATATTTTTACTATGTAGAAATCGAGTTTTTTCCTGTATATGAAAAAAAAACAATTTCGTTGGGCTGACAGAATTTTTTCTTGATCGACTAGACGAAAACTCGGTTGTAGGAACATAAAAATTCTTGTAGAAGGTTTCTGCTCAGTCAATTTTCTCAGTTGTCTCAAACGAGTTTTAACACAGTTAAATGTTCATATGAATGTGCTCAGTCGCGGTTTCAAAGATATCATATCATTTCTGATCATTAAATTTTCACTTCTTATCAACGAGTTTTCACTTCTCTTCACCGAGTTCTCATCGTTTAAGTAACGGTTAAGTAACGAATTGCAAGCAGAAATTCGGTCCATTAAATTTTTGTCACTCAATTGATGCAACTTAATGATGCAACCTAAATATCAAGCTTCTTGATCATTCCTGTCGTAAATATTTCGAAACAGTAGTGCCAGTAATATTTAGTGCCTGACCAATCTCACGTGTCGTCGAATGGCAGTTGCTATCATTTATGATTTTAATTTTATCCACGTCTGTGGTGACAGGCTGCGAGATGCATCTTTGACATAAAAATTTCCGTCTTTAAACCTCCAGAATCACTTTCTGCATGTCGAATCATCTATAGCATCGGCTTCATATACAGCACAAATTTTTTTACAAGTTTGCAACGTATTTCTATCTTTTCGCTAATAAAAAAGCAGAATATAATGAAAATGTTCTTGATTTACTGACACATTTAAAATGTTACAAGAAACGTTATGGCTTACTAATCACAATGAAATTATATGAAATTAAGTTGAAATGTCGTTTTTAAAGTGAAAGATAAAATTTACGCGCGTGAAGTTCGTAACGATACGAAAAAGCGGACGTTCTGTCATAAAGCGCAGAAAACGGGACGAATATATCTTATAATCTAATACAAAAGTTTGTAATACTGGAATATGTCAGATTTATTATCAAAATTATATGTGCACTATATATGTTGTAATCTTTAATAATGTGTACATAAATAACATGGATATACATTATTAAAAATTACAACACACATAGTAATTTCAATAATAATTCCGGTATATTTTATATTTATATTTCAGCATTACAAATTTTTATAGTAATTTTCAATATAATATTTTCTGCCTGTATATCAGTAATTTTTTCATATTCTTGTAGTTTTTTTCGTACAAATATATTGAAGTGCAGAGAGATATTCAGATTTGTTCTCTGAAGATAGTCCACACTATTAGCGAGGGAACACAGAAGGAAAAAAAGTGTTATATTCAAGTAAATATTTGCTAAGAAATATTGGAATGATTATTCTCCGGAATTAAATAAATATTACTTGAATATAATAAATATTAATAACGAATAGAATAACACTTTTTTCTTTCAATGTGCTACATTTAAATAAAGGAAAAGTAAAAGCAAAACTAACATTATATAATAAATCGACATACCTATGTTTCTCGACTATAAAATATCAAACCTTCTCGGACAATATATAAACTTTAATATATATATATATATATATATATATTGTATCCAAATAATTTGATTACTGTGATCAAATCATTTAGTTGAAACTATCTAATTAAATATTTGTTAATTGTTACTGTCGGAAATTATTTCACGGCTATCTCTCAAGTGATTTTATTCTCTCCCTCTCTCTCTCTCTCTCTCTCTGTGGTTCTTTTTATAAATATTTTATATGTATTATTATATTGTTATAACAAATAGCATTAGTGTTTACCTCTGCCACAAACGTGATTATCGCATGTGATCCGCTTACGATGATTTGCAACGATTCGCCGATTACTCGCTCACCACGCGACACTATTGTGCTCTTACGAGGCACGTATGCACACTTTTGCGATACGAACACATAACTGCAGCGTAGCGACACTCGTACAGGGTCACGTACGTACGTACGTACTTGGCGTATGCAGCGGTTGTTGTTAATAGCGTTCATTTGATCGATCCGATGAGTAATAACCAACTTTCGCGTCGATCACACGTGTCACGATCTACATCCGCAATCTATCGTGATCCATCGCGATCTGCATCTATCGTTGATTGCACCAGCAAACACAGTTTTTATTACGCGTAACACGTCCTAACGTTCCCGGGACACCTCTTCCACTTTTACGCTTAATCCGAAAATACGGGGTTTCCCTTTTTCTACGCGACATCTACGGTGTCATTGTGTTCGCTTGAAAATTTTTTGTAAAACTGCTGTTTGTTCATAAACCAAGCAAGATTAATTTGCAATCTCGTCTTAAGTCTTCTGGTCCCATGTTTCAGTCGTCTTGTTTGATGACATCGGAAGCAAGAAAACATACGACATATAAACATATGGCCCGAATTTCTACGAAATACAGTCTGTTCTATAAGAAAGCATACGGCCTTAATACAAAATGATTGTCCTTAGCACCATCTACTTTATTTACAGTTTAGTTAGAAATGAAATTGGAAATTTTCAAAATAAGTACAAAGCATTTCAAATGTTACGAAGCAGTATTTTTAGTTTTGTATGCAAAAGGATCAAAATTAATGTATGCTCAGGCTTCAAAAGTGGTTAGAAAGTAAATATACAGAAAGAAAATTAATATACAGTGTCCCATTTTTTAAATTTGCTTAATTATATTAAAAAAATTAAGTTAAAAAGAAATATTTCGAACAAAATTTATTAGGTTTGGAAGGGGACATAAGCTGGTGATACCTTAACTTTGTGTTAATAATTTAAGGTCATTTCAAGGTCAATTCCATTTTTTTTTAACGAAATCATATAGTTTTTTTTTTAACATAAATCTATTTATTTGTTCATTCTGCATATAAAAATACTAAGATAAGATCAACGAAAAATGAATACTTTTCAAGGTATTTTATTTTTTATTCTGATATTTTTCAGTAGAAAATATAAAATTTCTCTATAAAATATTTAACTTTCCTATAACATCACCTTAACACTTATATACGTAGAATGACAGGTGGAAGCTATCACTGTAAGAAACATAGGAAAACATAGGAAAACCTTAAAAAATTTATTATATTTTGCAAATGCATCGGTGCACCAATGTGCAATGATTAATATCAATAATCGATTTCTCTTATATTATTATGTAAAAAAATGTTGAGGTGGTGTTATTAAAAAGTGAATACTTTATACTTCATATTTCAGTGAATACTTTATATTTCATATTTTGTACTGAAAAATATCAGAATAAAAAATACTTTTTGATTATCTTAGTATTTTATAGAATGAGTAGTACAATCGATTTGTGTTAAAAAAAAAACTATATAATCCATAAAAAAATTAAGTTAATGGGAAATGACTTTGAATTATTAACTATAGAACAAAGTTAAGGCCACCAACTTATGTCCTTCTCCAAACCCTGTAACTTTTGTTTTAAACATTTTTCCTAAAACACAATATTTTTATATATTGAAACATAATTTTAACAATGAAACACTCTATATAGTTACTCTTATATAGATATGTACAAGAGTTTGTCACTTTTTTTGTAAATTTTCATTTTGTTTCTACATAGTCGGAAAACCAAAAACTTTTATGTAAAGATACTTTTACATAAAATCGTAATAATAGAAAGATATACACATACGAATATTGAAGTGTGCGATTTTACGACAAAATTAAGCGTATTGTGCATAGGGATCCAACGTGATGCGGGAAGAAAATAACACTTGAATTTAGTGTGAACAATGCTGTCCGGGATTTGTCCAAAGTGATAAAAATAATTATGTTAACCAAGATGTTCAATACGTAATTTACAACGGATCGGAGAAAACACGTACTACTGAGAAAGCTGCTACATTATGGTTGTAGTCGCCGTCGTCATCGTCGAGGAGAGCTGCTCGTGAAAAGAAAACGTTCGTGTAAACATTGTAACTTCGATCACTCCTGTATTTCTCGGACGTTCGATCGAGTGTCACGATAAATGCCCGTAATTGCGCGAGGGCGTGCGCCGGTGAATTGATACGCAAAGGCTATTTTTTTTCCTCGCACGAAGAAGATAAAATTGCTCCCGCTCACCCATCATGTTTAAACTAATTCACCCGTGACCGTGTTCGATGTGCAACACTAGAGGGTATAATTTTTATTCAATTTTTCTTGAAAAAGACGTGCGTACGCATACGTTCGTCTAATCATGGATGATATTTGACTTTAAAGCCAACACCAAAATTTGAGGGTTTTAGTATAACCTTGTTAATACACACATGATAATAATAAAAATAATCACATAATCTAAAGGACTTAATTATCAATTATTTTTGCGAGAACAATTGATTGGCAGTGACACTGATCGAATTACAAGATTATCAAGCAAAAAATATGTGTCATAAAATACCACTACTAGAAATACAGCAATGATAACATTATAGCGATAGTGAAAGGTGAAATATAATTATCATGAGATAGTGTGTGGTATTATCATGAGTGGTGTGTAGGTTTTATACGGGGGATGTTAAATTTGTACACAGAAACGAAAAAAAATCAATATCACTACTTTAGAACAGAGAGACTGAATTAATTATTCCAGCGATAAAATCTACTTGAAGTAAATTTGTCCTGAACTAGCAAGAATGAAAATCTGAAGAAATTTATAACGAGGTTTAGGGCACGTAAAAGCTACATAAAGCTTATATTTATGCATGTAGAGAAGATGTCTGATATTTTAATCGACCTAAGAGTTCTAAGATATATATATATATAATTTATTTACTTCTTCTTCAATTTTATATATATATATATACAATATTTTATTAAACGCTAAAGCCATATAAAGAAAATTAATTTATGTTANATAAACACGTTGTATATTCTGAAGAATTGATCGTGAGAAATTGCTCTATTTATTATTACTGGTGAAAGGGGAAGAATAATGCTCAGTGATATATTTAACGTCATGCGACATTATAATGTTGTTATAGTCGATATCTCGGAAAGATCTTTGTTTTGAATATGTTTCACGATTTTATTCGTAATAATAACTACTTGACAATTAATTATTTATTACAATTATTGTTGTATTATTCTTGTATTTTTATGTAATTAAAGCTTCCATCCAATGTCAATACAAATACAATTTTCTATTATATAATATAATATAATTTAACGAAACAAATAATTGTTTAACAGTCAATTATTATGCAGAGTTTATGTGTATTCTATCATAGCCTTGGTTGCGTTCAACGGAGAAAGCAGTTTTGCAACTGTAGTAAAATTCGTGAATTTGATTGACGTATGCTCTTAATCTTGGAATCCAAAGATATATGTCAATCAGATTCACGATAATTTTATAATAGTTTTTTTTTGTAATTTTAAAAAAGTTTTATAATAGTACATAGTGTTTTCTCTGAACGTAGCCTTTGTTTGCATCAAGTTTATAATTTTAACACTTTCACTGCGACAGGGGTAGGTTCCAACCCTGCCTAACTACCAACCTTGTTTAATGGCGGTCAGGTAGGCTGCGTAAATATACGTTCCAGTAGTTGCCTATGATGATTTACGTTTTTGTCAATTGAAAAATTATTTTGCAAATCTGAATTTCGGAATAATTCAAAAAGTAAATTATCTCATAATTTTCATACTGTGGAAGTTATAAAGGTCCCAAGCCAACTACTATTCCCACTGTAAAAATTTAAAACTGAACAAGGGTCTGCGTATAATACGTCCGCAGTCACTGGCGCCCTCATAGATATACGTATATATACGTTCCCGCACTGAACGTGTTAATAAATAATACCTGTCGGTAATGTCGCGTTCGATGTTACCTATGAGTTCATGACGATACCAAAGGCGCTAATTTAACTTAACCTAAACGATGGTCATGAACGGCTGTCGTTCGATGTTATTCGACATAGGGCCTCTTGTAATTGTGGATACCAATTTGCAAAAAAATCGTGAAGTTGTTATAGAAGAGACGAGTCGTGTAAACCAGACATGGAAGGGAAGTTGTGGATCTCTATGTAAGAAAAAGTCGTGTAAACCGAAAATGACTGCGAATGGATTGTAACCTCACAATGCGTATGTTCGACTGTATGTTTTGAGTAAACTTATAGTGTGTTGTTTATTACCAATTTTATATTATTTAATAACAATGGAACGCAATGAAGAAGACTGGTCTGTGGAATGTTCTGATGATGAGAAATATGAGATAGATGCTAAGGTGAGACACATCGCACCTGTTAAGTACACTTAATTGCGTTAAAAATTACTTAATCACGTTTACTATTTGTAAATAGTAATAAGTTCACGTTTGGAATTTCATCACATTTTGTTTAATGTTTTAATTAGTTTGTACGCATCCTTTCTATTTGTGTAGCACGAGTGGAACATAAAGGCTGAAGACATACTTGCACTGATCGAAGGCTTGGATGCTAACAATCGTATTTTAGAACTTGAATGGAAATGTCCTGGTAGGCGAGGACCTTCTCCCCAACCCTCGAACAATCGACAACAAGAGCACGGATCTCAGGAATATAAGTAAGCGTTCTATTTTATGGTGCTTAATTGGCCATTGCAAGAACGATTTGATCCACATAATTATGATTTTTGAGATTTTATTACGATGGGTAATCTATATGTCTTTCTACACAAAACAAAAAAATCTAAACCTTATGAATGCATAAAATTAATTAGATAATTTTTATTTTCTACTATTGTGCTATTTTTTACTGGTTGCGTTTTCTGTTTTTTTTTTAAAGATTAAACTTGTCAATCCTTAAAAAAAAGAAAATAGATTATGCTTGATTTCTTGAACGATTGTGAAGAACCTCAATACCACATTATTGTCGTAACTGATCGAGAAGTACATGTAATCTCCAATCGTTTATGATCGCCTCCGCTGCGGCGCTGCGCGTCGATGGTAAAAATATGATCGTTGTTATTATTTACCTTATTGCGAGTCAATGCTATTTAAATCATGTATCAACTTTCCATCTTCATTTTTCTTGAAACGTATTCCATGTGGATTGGATCTTTCTTGCATAACTATGGCCAATTTATTCAAATCTAAAGAGAATTTATCAATGAGGTTCAATAGAATTTATATAATACTGATAATACTGATGAAGTTAATTTTGCAGGGCCGAAGAAAAGTCAGATTTTGATTTCATGGATGAGATATCACCGAGGCTGCCTGTTCGAAGAGTAGGTGAAAGTACTCCAAAGGGTAGCGCTAAGAAGAAGACTGCTAGTTTCAATGGAGTGTTATCTACCATGTTGAGACATCGTAGACAAGAACAGCAGGAGATCAATGCCAGCCCGAAAAAAAGTGAATCTCCTGGGCTAAAACCTCATCCACCCACTTAAAACTTGGTACTGTTTAAAAAAAAAACTGAAAGGACACATGGTGATGTAGTTGTATAACGTAAACTTATCACGTGAACTATGCGGAGATATGTTACTTTACATATACTTTAGAAAGAATAACATGTCTATTAGAAATAACATCTGTCGAAGAATATGATATGCTATACCTGCTCGAAGGTATATTTCTGCTCCATCCTCCGTGAGGATATAAATGAGAGATGAATATGATTCGGATGTTACATTTATATCACAATTAATACTTGTCATATATATTAAATTTTCTCAACCGTAGAGATTGTTACAAATTGAAGAAGACGTGTTTCTATACAAACCTCCCTATCCGTGTATAAGAGAGAGTAAAGTGCATGTTTTTTTTTTCTCAGAGATATATTTTCCTTTCTACGCTGTATGCGTGTGATATATGTACAAATATACACAGGTAAAATATTAAAGGAGCAAAGTTTCTTTGTAAAAAGCGAGAAAGTATTCGATGTGTATTTTATTACGGAGCCAGTTTCATCGTACATTGGGAGTGCAAACACTGCGGACTGCGATTAACTGTATATTAATAATCATGTAACAGACGTTGATATAATTCTATAAACCAGATAATGTTTGTCGTAAGACTTTGTATGTTGCCTGCATGTAACAAGAGAGATAGTTTGGTAGACATTTTATTTTATAAGAAAGATACTTTACATTTGCAGAATTTAAGAGTGCACAAATGATTTCGGCTTATATATTCATTTCGCCATCGGTTCTTGTTTTTTAGTATGACTGTAGTATACCATCAATACCACCACTCATTGTAACACAATATTGTTCTGCCTATGTTGTAAGTGTATTTATTTGTAAAGTGCAATACATTAACGATTAATATTATGATAATTCTTAAGAAACAACGTTTGTGAAACACACGTAATATATTATTTGCTTGATCAACATCGGAATATTAAGTGGCGCAAATTGCAGTTCCCACCGACCTACAAAGAACGCAGTTTATGTCGCAATCGGCGGCCCCTCCGTAGCCCACTCGGGGAACTCGCTGATCCCGAGGATGAAAACGCCCCATGTCGGGAACGAAATAACGTTTATTATCAGAGCGTAAACCGAGGGTGCGCAGCCTCCGACCATAAGCCACTTGGTCGGGATGTGTCCCTGAATGGCTATGATCGCGTTCGGCGGTGTTCCAACCGGTAGACGGAATGAAAACGAACACATAATCGTGGCCGGTACCATGAGGTACATTGGATGTAACTTCATCGCCACGCACTGAAAAACGAAATGAAATCCCGTTAGTCGTAACGATGGTAAAAGAGGTTGTATGTGACAAATTGTTGCATATATGCATGCAGAATAAAGAATGTATCCACATATGTATGTGTGTGCGTATAAGAAAAGAAACATGTCGCATGCTTTGCGACATCCCATTCAAGGGTCGAATTCATCGTATACTATAAATGAAGAATATTGACAATTATAAATACAAGAACCAAAATATCGTAGATTTTAAGATTACGTCTACGGGTGATTTACATATTGTCTACGTAATATTTATACGGGCTTTGTTGACAAAGACAATTTAAATTATGGAAAATATAAATTACATAGGACAGTGCAAAGAGAAAGGACAAATTACGAGTGTAAATTAATTTAAATTAGTTCAATTAGTAACAAAATAGTTCATGTATCTGATTTTAATGTTAATTATGAAGATATGTAATATTAAAAATGAAGTTATACAGAATGTCCCATTTTAAATTAGACACTCAAGTATTTTGAAAATGGCGCGTCAATGGAAAAAATGTTTTAGACAAAAGTTGTATGGTTTGGAGGGGGACATTAAATGGTGACATTGGTTTGACCTTTGATAGCCTTTTGAAGGTCACACGAAGGTCACCTTCAATTTCTTAAACGGAACGCCCCTTTTTTATTGCATATTTTTGTAGCTTACCTCGAGAGCTTTTCAAAACACTATAATAACATATTTTTGTATCATGTACTTCCCGAGTTATAAGGCTTGAAAGTTGCAGTACTGCCGGCATTAACACTACCCAAGACACACGCCCTTTACAGGACGTGCTCGCATAACTCAAACAACATAACGTCTAAAATCGGGACATAAAATGTCTGAGAGACGTCTATCAGATCCTCTTACAAATATCTTAAAAATGTCTTAAAGATATGTTGATAATTAAGATAATGTCTTTCAGATGTCTTATACGAGGTCTGTTTAAAAAGTATCGCGAATTTTGAATTTCCGCGGGTTACGTATATTCAATTTTCGATTTTTTTGTGACGTTATGTTGGTAATCATGTCCCTCACTTATGCCGACAAGTTCGGCCATTTTGAATATTCAGTTTATCTTTGACAGCTGTTTTGCTTGGACGTGTTTTGGCTCATCTTCGATTTTTGTCTATTCCAAAAAATGGATCAAAGAGTCTGTATCAAATTTTGTGTGAAAAACAAAATTAAGTGCGCGGACGCATTCCGAATGTTAACTGTGGCATATAGTGAAGCTACCTTGGACCGAAGCAACGTTTATCGGTGGTACAAAATGTTCTCAGAGGGAGAAAATGTGAACGACGAAGAGCGTGACGGACGCCTGAGCACGTCAACAACAGACGAAAACATTGATGAAGTGAAGAAAATAGTATTGGCCAATCGTCGAATCACCGTTAGAGAAGTTGCTAAGGACCTAAACGATTGGCTCGTGCCATTCGATTTTTACTAATGATTTGGGCATGAGACGGGTCGCCGCGAAATTCGTACCAACACCCCTGTTCACACATCGTTGCTTGTGCGGGAATTTTTGGCCAAAAACAACACACTAATGATGCCGCAGTCACCGTATTCCCTAGACCTGGACCCCTGTGACTTTTTCTTGTTCCCGAAACTGAAGAGGCAAATGAAAGGACGACGCTACGCTACGATTGAGGCGATAAAGATGGCATCGAAGCGGAGCTGAACAAGATCATAAAAAATGATTTTTTGAAGTGCTGTGAGAATTGGAAAAAACGTTGGCACAAGTGTATAATATCTGATGGGGATTATTTTGAAGGAGACAAAATAGATATTCATGAATAAATAAATAATTTTTGAAAAAACACAAAATTCGCGATACTTTTTGAACAGACCTCGTATCCCGATTTTAGACATTATATTATCTGGGAGATTATACGTCATCTAATATAACATCATTATTTATTATTTTTAGAAACAAATACATGTAATCATAATGCTTACGTTCACACATAAATTTTCACAAAAAAAAAATAACTTCATTTGTGGCGTCAAATTATACACCCACCGCACACTACGAGTCTAACTGACCTTACGTCAAATTTGGACAGCTCCCGAACACGCATTAATTGGCTTGTCAAATTCACATAACGTCTAACGGATAAATAGAACGATTTTCTAACGATTTTTCGGAGCGGAGAGGACTTTTAGATCACGCATTTTTTTTCGCTATAGTTTTTCAAACACAACAGGCCTATCTGATTCGTGAAACGGTCGAAGGATTAATACACAAATGTTATTATTCAGATTTACCTGTGGGCTTTTAACAGAAACGAAATATAAAAATAAAACTTATGAAATGTAAAAGAAGACGAGCCATTACGTAACCGTTTATAGATTACTTACTGGTCTACACTTATTGGTTCAGAGAACCAAACTTTGATTATTACAACCAAAAAATTGGTTTGCCTATAGTTGAACAAGAATTTAGTTGATTCAACTAAATAGGTTTCTCAGCGCATAGATTATATTGTCTACGCGTAAATATAAATTATTGTATTTTACACATAAACGGCCAAGCCTGACAAGAACCTCGATCTCCGACGAATCCTTACCAATTGAGCTATCACCGGTAAGGTAATATTTGCGATGCCCACATTTGAAGTGAATTCCGTGATAGTGCCGCAGAGAAGGCACACCAGGAAGAGTATAAAAATAGGTGGCAAGTCCTGAAGCGGTAACAGAGACATGGCGACTGTTCTCGCCATGCCGGAAGCCACAGCTCCCCTCGAGATCGCAAATCCACCGCCCAACAGGAAGCATAGACCCCACGGCATTTTTTTCTCGATGACTTTCCACGTGATCAAACCCTCCGAAGAGGCTCTCGGTCTCTTGGCGGCTATGGATTTTGAGTTTTTCAACTCAGTCGTAGATACGAGTGTGCTCGCAAATTTTATTATGTGTGTTCTTTAATTTTTCAATAATATATAAATTAGTTTTTCACAAATATGTTCATCAACTTTTTTTAAAAATATGGAGAAAAAACTCTAAAAACGTATATCTTTAACTTCTTTCAAGTATAAAAGCTAAAGTCCCATAATTTCGAAGTATATCGCGCGACGATATTTTCAATATTTTTTGGAAACTATCGTTATCTTGAAAGTTAATAACATGACACATTTCTTACGATCTGGACTGAAGCTATTAATGAAGCTGGGATCCTTTGGGATGAAGAACATCAAGATGGAGACGCATATTACCGGTACCGAGTCCCTCAGTTCTCTACACATTGTTATTTATTACGTTTTTTTTTATGGAATCACACGTGTCTGGAGATCATATTTTAAGAAGTAATCGTAAGGAAATACCGACAGGTCGGTAAGATATTCCGCCCATCCTTTAACAAAGTCGGGCTTGCGGAATAGCCAAAGGAACACACATGAGACGAATAAGATGGTCACTCCAAATTCGTGAAAAGTTAACGGGCCCAAACCAACGTATTTCGCCTCTATAACCTGAAAAAATGGCAGCTCGATGGAAAAACAGCTCAGTATAATTTAAACTAATACAATTTTTAGTTTAGGAGATATCGTTCTTTCCATATCGTTCTTTCCATGCAATATTGTTTTAAGCCATAAAAATTATTCTCGAGTGACAAAAATATGTTTTCAGTAGAACTATACAGGGTATCCGAAGCTTTTCGGTCGATCGCTCGTGTGAAGATAGAACGAGTTAAACTGAGCAGAAAAGGCCTCTACCATTTAATAAACAATCACGCAAAATTTCGAATAATTAATTGTTGAAAATAGCCATGTAAAGGTTTATTTAATCAATAATTCCGAAATTTGCGTATTATTTGCAAAATGATATAGGACTTTTTTGGTTCAGAGTGGCCTAATCTACAAGTATATGATAGCTGTTACACCTAAAGACGAACATCAGTATATTGAATCTTGAACCTCGAACTTTGAACTTGTCGCTAGGTACAACAGCTGTGTCATCAAATCCAAGCAAAGCATCAAAAATACTGCAAAATAACCTCAAGGAAATAGAATCATGACTTGGAAAATGGAGAATCAGGGTTAACGAGACTAAACATTACAGGTAAATTTTTCCATGAAATATAAAACCTGTCCTGTACAAATCAATGGAACTCAAATCCCGCAAGCCAAGGAGGCAAAGTACTTGGGAATATATCTCGATAGGAGACTAACATGGAAAAAGCATATCACAGTTAAACGAAAGCAATTAGGTCTGTTGTTAAGTAAAACCTATTGGATAATTGGACGAAAATCCCAACTCTCAACTGAAAATAAAATGTTGCTGTACAAGATCATTATAAAACCGACCTGGATCTACGGACTGGAATTGTGGGGTACAGCCTCTAATTCTAACGTTGAAATCATTCAAAGATTTCAAAACAAGATATTAAGAATCATTATTAACGCGCCTTGGTTCATTACCAATGAGATTCTTCGTCACGACTTAGAAATTCCTACAGTTAAGGAGGAGATCAAGAAGAAGGCATCAAACCAAAAGGATAGACTGGACAGACATCCCAACAAACTAGTGATAAATCTTATGAAGCCAAGGAAAGCAAAGCGCAGATTAAAAAGAAAGTTACCTAATGATCTGATAGTAGGGTAAACTCAGGGAGTTGTACAGATGTGTAATTGGAACACAATACTGCGGAAAATTTTGAGGGTGTTTCTCCAGGCAAACTCCGAGCATGTCTAACTTATCTTAAACACATTGCTGAATGTCAACGTGACAGATTATAATGCTATAGGGGGTTATTATAAAAAAAATAATAATAATAATTCGAAATTTTACGTGGTTGTTTACAAAATTGTAGAGGATTTTTCTACTTTAATCCGTTCCTCTTTCACACGAGCAATTAGCCGAAAAGTTTAAAACGCACTATATAGAATTTCTTTACGTGTAAGATCAAGTTTATCTTCGTATAAGATTATATATTCTTGTTTATACAGAGTGAACCACTTTAATATTCTCATCTAAATATTTTTTTTTATATTACTTTTGATACAAAAAATATTTTAAACAAAAATTATAAGATTAAGAGGGAGACAAAAGGTAGTGACCTTAATTTCGTTGTATAGTTAATAATTCAAAGTTAGTTTTAAGGTCAACTTAATTTTTTTTAATGAAATCATATAATTTCTTTAACATAAATCGATTTCTCTGTTTATTCCTCAATATTTTTGTACAGAATGACAGGTGGAATTGATCGCTGTAAGCAAACATATACAGAAAAAAAAACAGGTAAAACAAATAAAAAAAGTTAGATTGAAGTAAATTATTACTCCAATATTCCATAGCAAATCTTTATATGGATTAGATAGATTTTACTTGGATAAAGTATTATACTTGGATTTTACTTGGATAAATAATTTACTTTCAATTGCGTTGCTTCCGGAAGTATGTCTTTACAAATAATTTACTTAGAAAATATTCTTCTTGAATCAAGTAAATATTACTTTATCCAAATAAAATTTTTCTGAGGAGTATTAGAGTAATTATTTACTCGAGTTTAGCACTTCTTTCTGTGTAGCTGTGTAGCACTTCTTTCTTGAAGCGAGACAAGTATATGTTTTCTCACTTCAACTTATTGCACTAGTTCAGCGGTGCAGCGAAAACGAACAGACCTAATGTGTGATTATAACATTCTTTTATTTCCACGTATACTATGATATATTTTAGCGTGTGATTTCTCGCTTCTGATATCATCAAACCAGGATAGCCAAAGTGAGGACACAGGAACTCTAAGGCGATGTTATTGTAAAGTGAATATTTTATGAGATATTTCATATATCCTTTTTTTGTATACATGAAAAATATCAGAATAAAAAGTAGTGTGTCTCAACATGTATTCACTTTTCGATAATCTTATTCTAGTATTTTTGCATGCAGAATTAATAGAGGAATTGATTTATATTAAAAAACTCTTACTCAATTTATGTTAAAAAACTCTTACTCAAACAAAATCTAATATCGGGACATAAAACGTCTTTAACCCTTTGAGCGCTGCGTTGTCCGACGTTAAGCGTGCGCTGTGGACTGCCCACTCTTTACGAAGAAGCACACCGTGGGCTACGTATTTTTTACGAAAGAGCGCAAGTTGAGCAGACTGAATTTTTCATTGCAAAATATATTGATTGTAACTAAAATAAATTATGTAATGACCGCGAAAACGTTCATAACCTAAATTGAATGGTTGTGTGAGAACGCATATATACGTTCATAGCCTAAATTGAATGGTTGTGTGAGAACGCATATATGCGTTCATAGCGCTCAAAGGGTTAAGACATCTTTAGACGTCTTAAAATCGTCTTTAAGTAAGATCTCTATAAGATGTCTTTAGGACGTCTTACAGACGTCTTGTCCCAGTTTTAGGTTTTGTGCTATCTGGTATAAGATTCTATTTAAAATAGAAAGTTGACCTTAAAGTCACTTTGAATTATTGACATACAATGAAGTTAAGATCACCACCTTACATCCTCTTTCAAACTCTACAATTTTTGTCTGAAACATTTTTGTAGAATACATAGGAAAAAATATACTTAGATAGAGACATAAAATATCTCACTCTGTATATAAGAATATGAGTGTTAAATTGATACTAATTTCTTTTTCCATGTATCTGATTCCAAAACGTTACGACGAGTAACAAAATATTTTCTTGCGTTTTCAATCGAGTCGTAAAAGTCGAAATGATTTTTGTACGCATGTTGATTATATTATAATTGTTATTTGATTATAATTTTTGTAATAATTTTTACTTGACGCGCGATCACTTCGCCCTCTGCTCCAATTGTCGCTAATTGGGCGTCCTTACTGCGCGGTCTCAGGTATCCAAAAAAAGCAATTCGCAGGTATATCCATGTCAAGAAGGAATTGACGATCATCTGGGGAATATTCGCCATCATCCACTGTGTGAAGCTAATTGGCTCGGCGGTAGGGAATGTGCTCTCGTAAATCCCTTTGAAAGTCAGATTCGTGCCGGTTCCCACTATCGTTCCCGTGCCACCAAATGTGGCACAGTAAGCCGCGCACATCATGTATGCCCTCGTCACTTTCGTCGGTCTTATTTCGCTACAAATATATTATCATCGAAGAAGCCGTCCGTCACGCAATTGTGATGAATATTCAATTTGCTCACCCCGGGACGTCTGGCCTTTCCGGGTCCGTTTCTGTCTGGAACACCGTGCAGTATCCTGCCTATGCGAACATACGTGTAATTAGACACAGTGATGTAAAAGAGTAACTGTCAACTCTGAAATATACACTAATATATAATATCGTTTCTGTTACATTATACTAAATAATAAATAATTCTTTATGACATTGAAGTATACAATTGTACCTTTTAAATATAGTATATGATTGTATCTTTTAAATATACACACTGAGAGAAAAATATTTAAAAATACTTAAAATATTAAAAAATTCATTTACAGGAAATAAAAAATCATTTATAGGAAATATATTTCACAGAAATGAAGCTTATTCTTGTGAAATGAACTTTAACTCACAAATAAATTTTTATGTACATTTTTTCAATGCACTAATAAAAAAATTATAGAATCAACAAAATTTTGCTCAAATGAACAAAATTTTTTCAAGCAACATTTAATATACTAAATAAATTATACTATAATAAATTATACTATAATAATCGAAATAAATTTTGCAGTTGCTGTAATAAATTATCAATTAATTCAACAATTGTAATTTGATCAGCAGCAATGCAACGTATTGCTGCACCACTGTGTAATTTTTCAGTAGACACAATATTGTTCTGAATGAAGGTGTCGATTCAACTGTTTCTTTTTTTCAATATATAGTTAACTTCTCAGTCAGGACAAACGTCCTAGACTAAACTATAAATTCGACGTATCATTAATATAAATTATATAAATATAGAATTCAGAGAAGATATATGTATGTGTATATATGAGCCATTTTTTTTTTAAAGTGGCCTAAGTCTATTTATCAATTTTTTTTTGTTGACTGTACGTGTACAAGTTAGCTGTCATAAACAACATTTTGCAGTTAAGTATATTCAGAGTGTACGATAATTTTTGACACATAAATTTTCGCAGTTATTTCAATAATTACAAACATTACTTTGAAAGTGGCCTAAGTCCAATCCGTTATTGATAATGTCCGAAAGTGCGTCATAAAAATGTCATTAAAGAAAAATAATTTACTGTTTGTCCCCCAAGATTATTATAATGTTATCAAAAAGTGCCGGAAAGGTAATAACTTTATTCTAAATGAAGTGAAACAAGAGGACTTCATATCAACAAGATTTTTGGAGGACGCAGTTTTTAAAAGGGTAAAGAATTCTAACGGAGAAACAATAAATTGATTAAAAATATGCTGGATGTGTTTTTTGAGAAATGAACCATATAAAATTTTCTATAAGATATCAATGGATGAGAATGCAGAGTTTAAAATCCTGAATTTGTTACCACGTCGGAGTAGATCAAGAAAATTCTAAAATATTGTACTGACACCACTTTATAAAAAGATGACTTACAAGACTTACAAAAACGACTTACAAGACTTACAAAAAAGGCGAAATACAAAAACATGATGAACTTACTACGATATATACCACTGGAGCAGCATGACTTCTTCAAATCCCTCCCGCATACACAAAATATAGATGAGCAGTAAATTGTTATGTAATTTATATAGTTAGAAGATTTCCTGAATTACATAAATTATGTTTTTAAAGTGTTGTAAAGAAATATAAAATAAATTGAATATTGTTTTTTCAATTTGAAGCATTTTAAATTATGTAGAATGGACTTGGGCTTTTTCACATTTTATAGCAAATCTAGTTAATTTTGAAAATGGCTTAACTCCATTTGTGGTAAGAAAACACATAATATTCACTTAATAGTTGCTATTATTTTAATAGGCATTGCAAATTTAACTTTCTTAGATACATTTAAGCAATGTGACACATTGGTATCCTATACGTATATTTTTAATTTTATTGAAACGCAAACTCTTAAATATCTCATTTTAAATATAAACGGACTTAGGTCACTTTCAAAATAAACAGCTCATATATATATATATAAATAAATTAATTAATTAATACTTGTTCCAACTCGTATAGCACAGCAAAAATGATGGGCACCATCATGGCGGTAGCTGCAGTATTCGACACCCACATGGACATGAAAGTCGTTACCGCACAAAGGCCACCGAGCAACCTAGCGTGACTAAAACCAACCGTCTTGACAACCCCGAGGGCAATCCTCATGTGCAGATTGCTGTGCTCAATGGCGATGGCAAGAATCAGACCGCCGATGAACACCATTATAGTGTCGTTCATGTAACAAGCACAGACGTTCATCGTGCTGAGTATTCCGAGAGACGGGAAAAGAACTACTGGAATGAAGGCAGTCACTGCCATGGGAAAGCAGTCGACCACCCAATAGCCTGCCATCAGCAATACCACGTAAGCACATCGGGCTTCCTAAACACAAGTCACAAAATTGAAGAAACGATCGACAGTTTCTGTCAAATATTGAATATGGAATTAAAAAATCAAAAGAACTGTTAAGCAATGAGGGGAGAAAATATTGCAGAATTGTAGATCACGAGAAAAAATATAACCAATTATTATATATAAAAATATATATAATAAAAATATAAATATTGGTCTAGAATATTACAAAGTTAAAGAAACGATCGATTGTTTCCTTTACAAAAATACACTACGCATAACAAACAGGAGAACATTTGATACTTCATTAAAAAAAAAAGGTAAGATTCAAGCATTTCTAACTTCCTCAAAAGTTATCGAATTTCAAGTCTAATAAAGGGTTTTAAAACTTGAATTCTCTACTTTCGAATGACTTCTATCGTTTTCTAGTTCTTTTAAGTTTGGTAACTTTTATATACTGAAAACAAGCTAGACGTGTCACAAGTAGAAGAAAAAATCTGAGAAAATTTTTAACTTTTCCACGTGAAAAATTGAAGTTTTCTCAATTTTCTTTCGAACGAAATTTCTCTACAATTTCTCATTTCCGGCTTATCAAGAGGATTAAAGAAGAAATGGATATTTTGACTTTGATTGTTCATAAATCCA